TAAAAATATATATTAAAAAAAGAAAATAGGTTCTGGTCCTAATGAGGGCATAGTTTGCAACTATGTTATAGTAATTTACAGGATCTCAGACTAGCCTCATCCACTCATTAATGGCCCTAAAAGAGGTCACCAGCAGAGACAGCCCAGGTTTGAGACTCAGAACCTCAATCCTAATATATACTGAGACCTCAGGAAAGTTCCTGAACGTCTCCAAATGCATCTTCTTCATTGGTAAAGTGGGTGTTATGATACTGCTCTAGTTACTTCACCGCATTGCAAGGAAGCGCCAACTCATAGTGAGGTTATGCACATCAAAGTGCTTTTTAAGTGGTTAAGAGTCCTACAATGATAATGTGTGGTCTTTTTAAAAATATATGTATTTGCCAAACCGGTTTGGCTCAGTGGATAGAGCGTCGGCCTGCAGACTGAGAGGTCCCAGGTTCAATTCCGGTCAAGGGCATGTACCTTGGTTGCGGGCACATCCCCATTGGGAGGTGTGCAGGAGGCAGCTGGTCGATGTTTCTCTCGCATCGATGTTTCTGGCTCTCTATCCCTCTCCCTTCCTCTCTGTAAAAAATCAATAAAATATATTAAAAAAAAAAATATATATATATATATATATATATATATATATATATTTTTAAATCTGTTAGAGGAAGGGAAAGAGAGAGAGAGGAACATCGATGAGAGAGAAGCATCACATTGATCGGCTGCCTCCCGCATGCCCTCCATCGAGGATTGAGTCTGGAACCCAGGCATGTGCGCTGGCCAGGAATTCAACCAACGACCTTTTGGTGCAAGGGACAACAATCCACTAAGCCACATCCGCCGGGCTTAACTACTGTAATAACTAACACTGATGTTTTTCTGGGTCCAGGAACTGTTCAGGTGTAGCCTACCAAACCTTACGGGAACCCTACAAGATGTGAATTATCATTTCCCATTTTAGAGATGAGAAAACTGATGCCCTGACAGGTTCAGTTACTTTTCTAAAGTATGACAACCACTGACAGAGGTCCAAACACTGGACCTCTGTCAAGCAAGCCCACATGTTTAACCACAGTGCCTTACTGACCACCTGGGAGTAGGAGACTTAGATTCTGATCCTAGCTGTGCCTTCTATAATCTTGGGTATGTTTGTCCATCTATAAAATGGGATGGAAAAGAAAATCATAAACTCTGATATCTAAAGCATCAGAAGGTCTGTTCTCAAATGATCGCCTCCTCACCACGGAAAGGTTTGGAGCCATCCTGGGAGACAGTCTAGGGTTTCATGGGGAGAACCCCAGTCTCCAGGAACCAGAGAAGGTAATGAATGGAACAGAAGCAGAAAGGCTGCAGGGGAGAGGACACTGCGCTCCCACACACCACACACACTCTTCAGAATGAGCAGCTCCTCCAGCCTCCTCCATGATCGCCCCTGGTTCAGCCCTGCTTCCCTGGGTTATTGATTGAGGAGGTTCTTCCCCAGAGCCTTAAAGGGGGCCACCTATGGTCAACAAATAGCTCCAGTGACACTCCCTGAGCACTTCCTATCGGCCGGATGCTGTGCTGAATACAGGAACCAATAGATCCAGTCAGTTCCCTTCTCAAGAAGTTCGCAGTCTCTTGGGGGAGACAGGCATGTAAACAGCTAATGCAAGTGCACATGAATATTCAATAGGTAGAAACAGCCTCCGTGCTCTGGGAGCAAAGAGGAAGCATTTGCTAGAAACCTTGAAAGTGGTGGAGAATAGAGGAAGGGCATTCTGCTGAAGGAACAGTGTGAGCAAAGACATGAGGTATGCAGTGCCTCTGACTGGCAGACATCCCAGTGAATTAATGCCAAGCAAGTCCCAAGGGAGACAGAGATGAGGGTGGAAGAGAAGGTGGGGGCTGGAGGACGGATCGTGGGGGGCCTTGAATGTCAGGGTGAGGAGTGAGACAGCCAGAGGGAGGTGTTATGTGAGCCCTGGGGACTTGTACATGGGGCCAAGAGAGAACGTGCCCTGAGTTCACCCTTCAAACAAGCAACATCTTACCCTCCTAGCTTTCCCAGCTTGACAGTTCCAGCTCTGCCCTCCTTCCCTCCCCCAGCCTGCCCTATAAGTGGATCCAGATGGTCATTCCTATTTTAGGTCGTATGTGTTGGGGGAGGGGTAGCTATGAGCCCTATCAATCCTCTCCTGAGCTCTGTTAGAGGAGCTTCTTCCAGGACCCCGCTGTGATCCTGAGCCTGGAAGGAAGTGTTAGTCTTTGATGGAGATTTCCCATCTGTCTGTGGGTGATAGGGGTGGCAGCCACAGAGGAGGAAAGGGCACAAGCCAGGACGGTTTTTACAGTGGGTGAGAGAAACAAGGTAATGTGTATGTGTGAGAGGGGCCTTGTGGATGGGCTTTGGTGGGGAACAAGCCTGGGGTAGGTGCCCCAGGGGAGTCAGAGGAGCTAGACCTCCAGGTATGTGGCCCTCCTCATGTGCCTGCCTAAGACATGCAGCTACCTAGGCCAAGGGCAGGATGGTGCAGGTCATAGGGAAGGGAGCTAGGGCTCTCTGGTCAGAACCTACTCCAGAGCACTGTACCAATCAACCTCCATGGGTCCCTTAAAAAAGCTTGGGGCACCGAGAGGTAGCAGGTGATAAGCTAGGTTCCTGTCCTTAGACTGTCTGTAGACACCAATGAAATATTTGCCATTCATCCAATTTAGCAAGTATTTATTAAGCAAATGCTATGTGCTAGACCAGTGGTTGGCAAACTGCGGCCCCTTGAGTGTGGCTCTTCCACAAAATACCACGTGTGGGCACGCACGTACAGTGCGATTGAAACTTCGTGGCCACACTCAAGGGGCCAAAGAGCCGCATGTGGCTTGCAAGCCACAGTTTGCCGACCACTGTGCTAGACAATACTAGGCATTGGGTTTACAGAAGTGAATAGGGAGTTCCTGCCCTCAAGGAGTTCCCAGCTTAGTGGGGGAGTCCAATAGTACACAGCTACAAATGTGCTGTGAAGAAAAAGAATAGGGTGTCTCAGGGAGAGTGCCAGGGGCTTTCTAATTTAGATTGGGTGGTCAGGGAAGGTCTCTCTGAGAAAGTGACATTTAATCTCAGATGGAAGCTAGCCAGTTTAAGTGTTGGGGGCCAGGGGGGATTTCAGAGAACAGTGTGTGCCAAGTTCCTGGGCATGAAAGAGCATGGCACATGAGAGGAATGAAAAAAGGCCAAGATGACTATAGTATAGTGAACAAACAAGAAAAGGGCATATGTAAATGCAGGGCCTTGTAAACCATGGTAAGATATTTTTGTTTATCTGAAGTGCTATGGGAAGATACAAGGTTGTCAGATTAGTACTTGTGTTACTACTACCCAATTTGTGGCAGGTCCTGAGAAAGACTTTTAGGTTGTTTACTCATCTATACACACAATAAAGGACTAGAATTACGAGTTGACAATGACAGTAGAGGAATGTCTAAGGCATAGACCTCCCTCAGAGCCTGTGATTTAGAAGATTAGATAGCTATAGTGATTGAATTAAGATGTAATGTGATTAATTCATTCAACAAATACATACGGCACACCTGATCTATTCCAAACCCTGTGCTAGATGCCCTTCAAGGATCACACACCACACATGGGTCACAGGAGAAGCACAAACATACTCAAAGAGTTTTGAGTGGGTTAGAGTCATTTTCATCTGTGATATCTATGAGGTCTTTAAAAACATCCAACCATCCAATCATTCAATAAACATATTTGGCATCTGCTCTGCACAAGGAACTATGCTAGCTACTGAAATCAAGGACCTTAGAGTTCCATAACAGACGGACATATCCCTCAGAATGCATTAAAATATTAGGTGTTGTTCGGCTGGTGTGGCTCAATGGTTGAGCATCAACCTACGAACCTGGAGGTGATGGTAGGATTCCTGGTCAGGGCACATGCCCAGGTTATAGGCTCGATCCCCAGTGCAGGGAGTGCAGGAGGCAGCCGATCAATGACTCTCATCATTGATGTTTCTATCTCTCCCTCTTCCTTACTCTCTGATATCAATAAAAATATATTTTTAAAAAAATACTAGGTATTAAAAAACAAGACAGCAGCTTTTCTGTAGATCAGCATTGAGGGAGGGTGATTCAAGGGAAGAAGACCTTCCCAAAAAGGCGTAACTCCCACCTACCTTGGTGGACTTGTCCATATCTCCCTCTGGCCCAGTTTTTAGTGCTGTCTTCCTTCTTGTTTCCCTATTTCCCTTTTCCACCCTGCATTTTTTGGTCTATCTTGGCATCCTTTAAAAAGCTCAAAAAATCCAAGATTTGAGCATGGTTTCTTTATATGGCTGTGTGATATACCTTTCCTAAGCCTCAGTGTTGCCATCTGTACAATGAAGGGATCTGAGCGCATCCGAAGCTCAGGATTTACTCCAGCACGTTGTGCTCTGCAAGGCCGTTCCTTGCACAGCTGCACGGTTCCCTCCACCCCCCTCTCACCCCTGTGCCACCTGGCAAACATCAAGACGCAGCTCAAATATCTTCAGGCAAGTCTCTACTTCGACACACAATATTTTAGTCTATCCTTCCATTATGCTACCACCGCCTCGAAAGAGATGATGGGATGAAAAGGGCAAGGGAGACAGGCTTGGGTTTGAGTCGTGGCCATTTACCTGGCCGCTTGAGCCTCATCTGCTCACTTGTAACTTGGGAGAAATAACTAAATTCGCAGGTCTAACCAATTCATGGCGATTAAAAACAATATATATATCAAGTGCTTGGCGCCTAAGACGTGCTCAATAAATAGCGACTGCATCACCCCTTTTAGGAGCGAGCCCTCAGCTTACTGAATTACAGAGTTCTGGGTCGGTCTCCGTGCGGTGAAGGTGCAAACGCGCAAAGCTGGAGGGCGCCGAGGGCCCGTGGCCAGGCAGCCCAGGCCCTGAGGGACGCGACTCCAATTCCCGGTGGGAAGGCCAAGCTGGGAGGACCCCGCCTCCCGGAAGTGACGCCACGCGGAAATCAGCGATCGAGCAGGGGCGGGCCGGAGCGGGGCGCGCACAGCATGGCGGAAGCGGAAGGGATTTCGCCTCTCCTGTTGCCGCGGCAGCCACCCCCGCCCGGGATGGCGGAAGTGGAGGCGCCGACGGCGGCCGAGACGGACCAGAAGCAATCCAGCGGCACTGGCGGCGGCGCCATGGACGTGGAGCGGAGCCGCTTTCCCTACTGCGTGGTGTGGACGCCCATCCCGGTGCTCACGTGAGTTTTCTCCGGTGTCCGCCTGTGTCCGCGCGGAGTGCTCGGGCCGCCCAGGGCCAGCCTCCGGTCCGATGCACAGCAAGCCCTTCCCTCGGGCCCGGTCCACAGGCCTGGCCCCGAGCGGTGCCGGTTTCTGCTGAGGGTGGGTCGTGCCCCCCGCCCTCATTGCACCTCAGAGTCAGGGAGAAGGACGATTGTAGACCAGCGGGAAGGGTTCTGTGGCTGGGAAGCTCGTACGCAGGAGGGGCCCTGACACGGCCTGAGAAGACATCGTCACATTCACGGTTTATTCGTTTCTTTCTGTGCACGAGCTGCCCCGCCGAGTCCGGAGGAGTTTGTTAGGAGCATACCCGCCCCTGGGATGTCAGTATTGTTAGGGCCCCAGAGATCTGGGATTCGGCGCTTTGTCTGACGGATGACCCCGGAGATTACACACCATCTCAGCTGCAAAGCGTGTTTAGGTCCCAGGGTGCTTGCCTCCCAGACAGAGGTGCTTTCTGTGGCATTAGCTTTCATCGGGAGAGAACACAGGCAGTGTTGCCGCCTTTTTTTTTTTTTTTTAGCTTCTGGCTGGGGAGACCTGGTTTGCCCTCCCGCTTCAGCCTTTGACAGCTGATAATGGCCACTGCTCACAGTGCTGGACAGTTGCCCAAGCTCTCTCTCTCTCATATTTTTCTCTGAATTTCACAGCCACGTTCTAAGGTAGGAAATGCCTTCTCAGGTGGTGAAGCTGAGCCTGTATCATTAAATGTCCTTTTTATTTATTTATTTTTAATTCCTCACCTGAGAATATTTTTCCATTGATTTTTAGAGAGTGGGAGACAGAGGGAAAGACAGAGAAATATCGATGTGAGAGAAATACATCGATTGGTTTCCTCGGCCAGGGAGGAGCCTGCAACCCAGGTTTGTGCCCTTGACCGAACTCGAACCCAGGACCCTTTGGTCCCCAGACCAGCGCTCTATCCACTGAGCCAAAGAGCTCATGTGCACATAAAATGACTCACCCTCCAGCAGTAGGGAGAGAGACAGGTGAACCACCATCTTCGCACACTGATGTTTGCTGACCTAGAGCACAGAACTAGGAATAGATGTGGCACAAGGAGCTGCCATCTCTCTCTGGATGGGGGATCAGAGGAGAAGCAGCTGAATCCAAAGATCTGTCCACCCCCCTCAGAGAAGTTGATAATTCTTCATGAAAAGTCAGATAATAGTTACTATTACTAATAGAAACAGCTAAGATTGGGTACTTACTCTGTTCTGGGCCAAACATTTTATATTCACTATCTCATTCAGTCCTTACATCAACCAAATGAAAATAGATACTGTCATCCCATTACATAGATGAGGAAATAAAGGCTTAGAAGCCAGCATGGGGCTTTTTCCTTTTTAAAAAAAATATATTTTTATTGATTTCAGAGAGGAAGGGAGAGGGAGAGAGAGAGAGAAACATCAATGGTGAGAGAGAATCATTGATTAGCTCTCTACTGGGGACTGAGCCCGCCACCCAGGCATGTGCCCTGACCAGGAATCGAAACGCCATCTCCTGGTTCATAGGTTGAGGCATAGGTTGAGGCTCAACCACTGAGCCCCGCCGGTTGGTCTGTTGGGGCTTTTTTCATTGAGATATTCTACCTTCCCAGATAGAAGCTCCAGCATTCGCTCATTCATTCATTCAATAAATAGTTATTGAGGACCTATTATATACCAGATCTGCATAGAAAGCAGTTGTGGAGCTTGCCTTCATGAAGCTTCCAGACTGACAAATACTTTGAGAGTTTCTGTTTGGGGACTTCCCTGGGCACAGGGCTCTGATGTCTCTAGCCTTTATTCCTTCATTCTTAATTTCCATCAGCAGATGTCAGCACAGCTGTGGTATGTGGAGTACTGCTCCCAGACCTTCTCCCCAACTAGATGGAGGAATTGGGGGGCGGGGCAGGCAGGAGGGGCCCTGAGGCTAGGGTCTGAGAAACCAGCAAAACTACTTTCTCATAATTCTGAGTCTGCATCCTGTGGCCACTATGTGTCTTCAGCAGCTTACTCTATGCCAGTCCAGCTGATCAGATAGCACGTATTTATTGAACACATCATGATAACAACACAGCAACTACCAAGTGCAAGGAAGTGTGCTAAGCACTTTACAAAGTATATCCTATTAAATCCTCGCAGTAGCCCCTCATTGAGGTAATTATCATTACTATCCACCTGTCACTGATAGATGAGAATGAGTAACTCGCCCCAAACCATCCAGCTGGTGTGGTTCAGTGGTTGGGCATCGACCCAGGAACCAGGAGGTCACAGGTTTGATTCCTGGTCAGGGTTGCAGGCTGGATCCCCGGTGGGAGGTGTGCAGGAGGCAGCTGTTCGATTGTTGTTTCTCTCTCATTGATGTTTCTATCCCTCTCCCTTCCTCCAAAATCAATAAAAAAACAAAACCAAAATCAGGACTCAACCCAGGTCTGATTTCAGAGCCTGACTGACTCTACTCTTAAATGTGGGGCATTCATTCATTCATAATTTAGTCAATGAATACTTAGCTCCAGCTGAATGCTAGGCATTGCCTTAGGGCAGTGGTCGGCAAACTGCGGCTCGCGAGCCACATGCGGCTCTTTGGCCCCTTGAGTGTGGCTCTTCCACAAAATACCACGTGCGGGCGTGCACATACAATGCGATTGAAACTTCGTGGCCCATGCGCAGAAGTCGGTATTTTGTGGAAGAACCACACTCAAGGGGCCAAAGAGCCGCATGTGGCTCGCAAGCCGCAGTTTGCCAACCCACTGCCCTTAGGGGCTACTCTGATAAATAAGAGAAAATCCTGCTCTCTTGCAGCTTACACACTCGTGGGAGGAGACAGACAGTAAACATGTAAGCAACCATCATTTCAGAAAGCAGTAGGTACTATAAAAAAAATGAAAACAGAGTAATGGGATCTAGGGTGCCTGGGGGTGTGTGTGGCTACTGTAGAAGGCATGGTCAGGGAAGACCTCCGAAGTTACAGTCAAGCTGAGACCTAAACAATAAGAAACGGCCAGCACTCTAAAGCTCCGGGGAAGAGTGTTCTGGGCAGAGACTAATGCAAAATAAGTGTTGAAGTGGGAGGATTTGGTGCCCTGGAACTGGAGGCAGGCAGTGTAGCCAGAGAGAGGCATGAGGTGACTTCAAGGGGTAAGTAGGGCGAAACTATTGAAAGGAGTTTAAAGTGTAATAGGAAGCCATTAATGGGTGTTAAGCAAAGGAATGATGGAATCTGAATTATGTCAAAAAAAACGCTCTGGCCCCATCCTCTCAGGTGCTCAGGCTGCAGACCTGGGAGACCTGTATCCTATGGAGAATGATAAAACTGTCCAGTCTTTCTTTTAAAGATCTTTTAGCCCAGCCAGTGTGGCTCAGTGGTTGAGAGTCCACCCAGGAACCGAGAGGTCACTGGTTTAATTCCCAGTTAGGGCACTTGCACAAGTTGTGAGCTCAGTCCCCAGTAGGGGATGTGCAGGAAGCGGCCCATTCATGATGTTTCTCATCGATGTTTCTATCTCTCTCCCTCTCCCTTCCTTTTCTCTCTAAAAATCAATAAAAAGATGTTTTTTAAATAAATAATTAATTAAAAAACAAAGATATTTTAATCCATTGGCTTCTCACCACCACCACCAGTTCTGTGGTCAGGATCACCATCATTTTCAGAATAACTTCTGAATTCACCACTGTCCTTCCCTCCACTCCTGTCCTCCTCCCATTCTCCAGACACATGCAGCACTTTGCAGCTTCAGAGTTTTGCTTTCTGCCTGTTGGCACCCTGTTCTTTCACAGGTAAAGTTAAAAGTCGCCTCATCTGTGAAGTCTTTACTGACTCTGCCCCAGCCCCACATAATCACTTCCTTGAGCTGCAACTCCCCAGGTTTTGCCCCACCTCCCTAGCAGGGTGCAGCCTTGAGACCAGCACCTGGCCAGTGGCTCTGCCAGCCCTTAAAATGGATCAGTCTCTCCAGCCCTTAGAGCCATGCTTTTCAGACTGCAGACTAATCTGGGATTCCTAGGTGGTTTGCATATTGGGGTCCATGTGAGATTTGGGTTTTTAAATGCCCATGACTTTTAAGAATTTGAATTTTTAGTTCCTGGAATTCACCATGCTGTCGTCCTAATCTCTACCCTTGCACATACTGTTTCTTCATCATTTCCTCAGAGAAGCCTTCCCTGAACCACACACACACACACACACCCCGATTGGTTTAAATGCCTCCTCCACCTTTAAAAAAAAATAACTTTTCATTGAGCTATAACATATACCATAAAATGTTTAAATCTTAAGTATATATGGGACTCAGTGAGTTTTTACATACATGTACTTATGTCACCAGGTCAAGGTAGAGAACATTTGCAGTACCCAAAGGGCTTCCTTATGCTGGTCAGTTTTACCATGGAGATCACCCCTCTTTTGCCTTCCAGCACTACAGATTACTTCTGCCTTTTCTTGCACTTCATATAAACAGAATAGTATGTATGTTTCTTTTTTCACTCTGCCTTTTATCTGTGAGAATCTGTTGTGTGTAGCAGAAATTTATTGTTTTCCATTGTTACCTACTATTTCATTAAATGGCTATACCCCAGTTTACTTACTCATTGAGATACTAGAGGCCCAGTGCTTGAAATTCGTGCACGGGTAGGATCCCTAGGCCTGGCTACAGATCAGGGCCAATCAGGGCCTTCTGGCTGCCAGCTGGGGCCTTCCTTCGTTCCACGCCGCCCCCTGGTGGTCAGCGCACATTATAGCGAGCGGGCGAACTCCCAGTTGGTCGAACTCCCGAGGGGACAATTTGCATATTAGGCTTTTATTATATAGGATAGCTGATAAATAATAAAGTGCATATATTTTAAGTGTGCAGTTCAATGAGTTTTGAAAAATGTTGTTTCTGGCTATTTTACATAAAGGTGCTATGAACTTTCTTGTACAGGGCATTTGTTTCCGTTGGGTGTATACTCTGAGTGGAGTTGCTGAGGCATAGAGTATATGGCCAGTTTTTCGAAAGTGTTTATACTCCCACCAGCCGTGCATGAGCGTTCGGTTGTTCCTCATCCTCACCCACTCAACGTTATCGTCCTTTTGGTTCTAGCCGTCCTGTGGGATGGTCTCCCTTTACTGTTCATTGGCCCTTGCCCCTCTTCTGTGCTTCCCCAGCCCCTCCAGCCACCCTTTGGCACCTGTCACACACAGCTGCAGTTGCACGTTCTCACACTGGATGGAGTGTCCCTGCCGTCTGTCTAACCGGCTGCAAGATCCCCGAAGCTCAGCTCCTTCCCCGTCCTTTCTTCTCACAGGTGGTTTTTCCCCATCATTGGCCACATGGGCATCTGCACGTCCACAGGAGTCATTCGGGACTTTGCTGGCCCCTACTTTGTCTCGGTGAGTCCCCATTCCTCCCCCCTCTGGAGGGTTCCAAGGCATAAGTGGAAGGTTGGCCTGTCTTGCCTGCAGGCAGCTCCCTATCTCCCTGAGACCCAAGAGAATGCAGCCAGCACGCAGCCCGGGCCCTGGCCCTCTGGTCCTCACCAGTGTTTGACGCCTTTACCCCTTCTCTTGCCTCCAGGACAGGCCAGGAGGGCAGTGTGGCCAGAAGGATTCTTAAGTAACTGACCCAGCCCTTTGCCCACCCCTTGGGTACTGAGACATGGGTAGGGGTTAGAGGCAAGAGTGGAGTCAGACCATCCGGGAACCACATCTCTGGACCTTCAGAAGGTGGGAGTCACAAGCTGGGGACACAGGGGAGGCTGACATGGTTCCCTGGGTGTGGCCATGGAGAAGAGGGGGTGGGCCTCCTACAATGGATCAGCTATGTTCTCAGGTCTTTTGGGAGGAATGTGCCCAAAATGGGTGTAGTGGGCTTGTTTTGGCTATTTCGAGGTTGCAGCTCCATCAGAAGCTGAAGTAAAGGGGGTATATGGTGGCATCAGCCTGTTTATATTAATAGTTGTCATGATCATCTTACACAGAAAGGTCTTTCATAGCCATTGCTTTCACTGTCATATACTTTTATGATAATTTATCTTTGACCAGCTGTCAGCAGATTCTGAACCCAGAATCTGTCCCTACACATCTCATGTGGCAGGTCTAGGACCTGGCTAACATGCCTCCCTCATGGAAGGCCTCTCACCCCCCTCCCCCCTCCCCTGTCCTGCTCTGAATGCAATGGGACTGGCAGGTGCAGAGACAGGCTCTCTGGGCACTGCTGTTGGGTCGGGAGGTCAGGGTGTCCTCATTCATACCAGGAAGGAACTGCCTCCCTGCCATCAAAGATCAGAAATTGACCAGAGAACTTGAAGAAAATGAGGCCCAGAGAGAGTGAGAGAATTCACTCGGAGCCACACCAAGGGGCAGTTGTGGCTGGCACCCCGAGCCTTTGGTCTCGGTGTACAGGGCTCTGTGCCATGCTGCCTTCTTTCCACCAACATGCTGCTGCTGGCACTTCACAAACCGACCCGGCCCCAGAGCAGGGCCCGGGCCCCACTGCTGCCCACCCGACACACCTCCTGAGTCACTGCATTCCACCGCCAACCCCGGTCTATCCTCCAGGCTGGATGTGGGCTCCCCACTGACCTCTGCTCTTGTCCCTCAACAGGAAGACAACATGGCCTTTGGGAAGCCTGTCAAGTAAGTGAGAACACCCATGTGACTGGCCCTAGGGCCAGGTTCCTCCTGGCTGGGCCCTTTATCCACAGGCCAGCTAGACCTTGCCTCAGCTCTTCAAAGTCGTGTTTTCAGCTCCATTGCAAGGGTGAGGAAAGGGAAGAGACTTGGTCAAGACCACACAGGAAGTGGCAGAGTTGGGACTCACACCCAGGTCTGTCTCACTCCACAACCTAGACTCTCTCTCCTGTCCCTCAAGGAGTGAACACACCATTTAAGGTGTGGGAGGCATTGTTTGGAACTCCCCTGGAAAGTTCTGGTCGGAGAGAATAAAAGCAGTTCAGGTCCTCTGGGAGCTACTGCTGGCTGGCTTTAATTTTTCTCTCTCGGGGGCCCACCTCAAATGTGGTTCTGGTGACAATGCCTCTGTCATCTGTGTACTCGGAACAGCATCAGGTGCTCTGTTGCTAGAGGCTACACCCTGGAGGGCCGGGCCCAAGGAGTAGGAGCCTGCGGCTTCCTCAGGCAGGTGACCATGTGGGCCCAGGCCTGTGAGCTGGGTGTCTGCTGCCAGGCTGCTGTGTGAAGCTCCTGGCCCCCATTTCTGGGCAGGAACCCCTGAGCAGCCCCCGCCCAGGCCGTGGTGGTTTCTCACTGGTCCCCTGTGTCTGGGCCAGCAATTTTCAACCTTTTTCATATCCTGGCACACATAAACTAATTACTAAAATTCTGTGGCACACCCAAAAAAATTTTTGGCTGATTTGACAAAAAGAAAAAAAAAAGTATAATTGTGATTCATTGACACCAGACAGCTATTGTTGTGTTGGCTGTTGTCATTTTTTTAATTTGACAGTCTAAGGGAAAAGAGATCAGTGCCCTGACTAAATGGTCAGGTATTGCAATGCTTTAAAAATTCTTGGGGCACACCCGTTGAAAATCGGGGCTCTAGGCTTCGGTACCAAGCCATTCCACTCACAGCAGCCAGAGGGCGCTCTGACCTCCCAGCACTCCCTCAGGGGTCTCACCCAGCTTGAGGTTTATGAGCTTTAGCTTCCCTGGCTGCTCTCCCACTCACCCTGATCTCCTTGTGGGGGGAAGGGGGGAATGCTTTCTGATGGATAAACTCCTCAGGGTGATAGTCAAGTCGTCTACAACATGGCTCTACCTGTATCTCCAGCCTCACCTCCCGGCATCCTGTCACCCTGTTCCTCCCTTGATCTTGGCTACATGCTACGCAGTTTTGTGCCTCTTCCTCTGTTCAGGCTGTTCCCTCTGCCTAGGGTACCCACTCCCTCTTCTGTGCCTGGCTAACTCCTCTTCGGGCTGGACTCGATGTCACCCCAGCTGAGTTAGCTCATGTCCTCCCCAGAATCCACCTGGCATTGGGCGTATCACACTGTCACACGGCCCTGGACCTGGCTCTCCCCTGCAATTTCAATACCCAGCTCAGGGCCCTGCACAGAGCGGGCACCAGGGAACGTTGGTGGAGCTGAGCCAATGCCCAGAACCCCCCTCTCCCCTCAGGTACTGGAAGTTGGACCCTGCTCGGGTATACGCCAGCGGGCCCAATGCGTGGGACACAGCTGTGCACGACGCCTCTGAGGAGTACAAGCACCGCATGGTAGGTGCGCCGCTCCTGGGGGTGGGAGCCAGGGTGGGAGCTTCCCCCACAGCCCGGCATGACCCCGCCTTCCTGCATCCAGCACAATCTCTGCTGTGACAACTGCCACTCACACGTGGCGTTGGCCCTGAACCTGATGCGCTACAACAATAGCACCAACTGGAACATGGTGACAGTCTGCTTCTTCTGCCTGCTCTATGGGAAGTATGTCAGGTGAGCTACCCACCTCCCACCACCCCTTGGAGATGTTGAAGGTTCTAGAAGAACTAGCGGAGTTCCTGGTGGACAAGGAGGTGGCTGTGCTAAAGGTCAGCTGCACCGGGTCCCAAGCCCAGCTCTGTCACTTGCTCACTGAGATCTCGGGTGACTGCCCTGGCTCTCAGCTGCAGCTGTTCTTGGTAAAATGGGGGTAATGATTCTGGCTCCTTGGAGAGACTGTGGGTGCACAGGTAGACCCTCACAGGAGAGTGGGTGACTGCCCCACAGGGTCCCTTCCCAGCTTCCAGCGTCTGAGGCAGGGTTCTGAGCAGGTGGGCCCCAGTGGTGGCTCAGGAGGACCTTGGAGGTCACAGCTTCGTGACGTGTGAGGTCAAAGGTGTTAGTCTCAATTCACAGATAAAGGCAGCTCAGAGAGGGTGAATGCCCTGCCCACTTGGAGCCAGCACGCCCCTGGCAGCCAGGCCACCTCTCCAGGCTTTTCTCAGCTGCGCTCATCATTGAGAGCTTCTGAAAAGGAGGCTCTCGGGAGTCTTTACAGTCCAGAGGCTTTCAGAGGTCCCCTGAGAAGTCTGTAACTGGCCACGCACACACTGAGGCAGAGCCGGGGTTGTACCCAGAACCCTGACTCCAGCCACAACACTGTTCACTCTTGCTGACTCCTCCCGTCTCGGGGGCCCCATTAGGAAAGCTGTGTGCAGCCGGTGCTCCTGGCTTTCATGCCCAGACAAGGGCCTGGTCCTCTGGCTGGAGACCTCTCCCCAGAAACTGGGGTGGTTGTGGATGGAACCAGTAAGTTCTAGAGAAGGTGGGCACATCTTCTATCACCCACCCAGGGAGGTACCACGTCTCCACCAGGAGCCTGGAGCATCTCCTGCCAAGGACCGTAGGTGGCCGTCCTCCATAGTGGGTGCCAGGCCCAGCCAGTCCCTTGGTGGACCAAATTATGGGGTGAGGGCATGGTTCCAGAAGCTTCCTCGGGGACAGCAGCCCCTCCTGGGTTGGGATGGATGGGGCTTGGGGTGGCTCACTCACCCGGCCCTTCCCACCAATACTCCCCTCCCCTCTCAGCGTCGGGGCCTTCGTGAAGACCTGGCTACCCTTCGTCCTCCTCCTGGGCATCATCTTAACTGCCAGCCTGGTCTTTAACCTTCGGTGATGGCTGCCTCCTGGCCCTGGACCTGCCACTCCTTTTGGTTCCAGATTCTTTTCCTCTCCCCAAAAGGCAGGGATGGGCCTGCTGCTGGTTTTGAGCCAGGAGTCTGGGCTAGGTGGGCTGGAATAGGCTGAGGATGAGCAGGGCTGGGGGGGCGGGGGGTGTGGTTGCGTATGGTGTCTCACTGGTCACTCAGAAGTTCCCTGTGCCCTCCTCCCCAGGCCGGTGACCCCTGTGCTTGAGGCACCCTCTCTGCCCATCTGTTGGAAAGGCTTTAACTTCTCCCTGTAGCTGCTCCTGTGCTGCCTCAGCTCAGTGCCTGGTGGGGAGGGGAGGGCATTTGGAGCCACCAGACGGGTCAGAGCTGGATTTGGAGCCTGTTCTCCTGCCAGGGCTCGGTCCTGGGGGGGGCGGGGAACACTAGGAAGTTTCCATAAGCTAAGCCACCTGGGCCTCTCCGCTGGCCTCCGGAATGGTCCAGCAGGGCTGGGTGGCCCCCTTTGGCCAGAAGCTGCACTAGGGGTAGTTTGTGCCCCATCTGGGGTCCTCCAGACCATGCAGCCCCTTATTCCCACTCTCCCAGGGCCCATCTCCCACTTGAGCCCACATCCCTCAGCAAATTGGGGCCTGGGCCCCCCAGTCAGGCTGGAGAGATGAGTGACACTGATGTGTCCAGAGTGACACCCTGCAGACCAGAGCAGCGGAAACAAAGCCTGGCCCTGGCCCCAGGTGTGGGCCTCACTCTGGGGATGGCACCCTTGGGTCCAAGATGTGCCAGAGCAGCCAGCGCCATCACGGAGCTGAGGGGAGCTGTTTCCTCCTCACCAGGGCTCCCTCTTCTCTTCGCGCTGTGGGAAGGGCCTGTGCTGCCCCTCACCCCTGCCCCACCGATTCCTGTGGGGGGGGGGGGGGCTCCCTGGACAGGACAATAAAGAATTTTAACTCCAGAAAGTGCCTTGTCCTTTGTTTCTCCCTTCACGTCTTCAACTCGTACCTCCTTGGTGTCCTTGGGTACCTCTGCCCCTGGCAAGGGGTCTGGTTAAGTCTTCACCCACTGCCTGGCTTCCAGGGTCGGAGCATCCCCCCAGGCATCCTGCCCTGGGCCCAGGCTCTGGGAGTCCCTCCCCCACCATCCCAAAGCTTTCTCTTCAAGGCAAATGAACATTGAAATCCTTCCCGTACTCCCTGTGGGGAGGAACTTGGCAATAGGACTGGGGTTGGGGCTGAGCAGAGCACAGCCCAGGGGTCTACAGTTTGGGATAAGCTGAGAGAGCCCCAGCCCCTGGCTCCTGCCAGTTCATCAGTCACATGGCCAAGTGCCTTGTGCTGACCCCCAGGGATCCGGTCGCTGTCCTGCTCCGTGTGCCTCCACTTGTGGCCTTCCGGGCCCTGCATCCTCCACTCCACACGCCCTGCCCTCCAGCCTCCTCCCACTTCAGTCCTGTGCTTCCCGTGTTAAAATCATGGCCTTTCTGCCCAAGCCCAGTTTAAAAGTCACTTCCTTGGAGGAGTCTCCTAACCGTGCCCTATGCCGTGTGTCACTTAGTTGAACTAGTAAAGGATTTGGTCTCTGGATCTTGAGCCCTTTGTGTTCATCCTGAGAATGGCTTTGAGGACGGCTCTAGCTGTTGGGCCTCAGAGCCCTGGATCAGCTATCCCAGCTCACCCCAGACCCGCAGTGCTGCGGTTTCCAAGCCTGGGGTTTCTCCCCACTTCAGAAAAATTCCATTTTCAAACATCTTCCTTGCATAGTGGGGTCCATCTGAGAATTGATTGGTGGGGGGAGGGGGGAAGGGTGAGTTCCGGTACAGAGAAAAATCACAGCAAAACGGGAATGTTTTAAGGCCTGCTGCCTGGCAGGGCTCTCAGTTAGCCTTGCAGAGAAAGGACATGAACAGGGGCCATGAAATCACCCAGCAGTTACTGAGTACTGGCTGTGTGACAGCCTTGTCACGGAGCCTGTGAGGTCAGTGTGTCATCCCCGTTTTACCAATGAACAAATAAGCAGAGAAGTGAACAGGTAGGACAAGTAGCACCATGTTCAAACCCAGCAGCTTGGCTCTGCAGCCCCCACTCGGGACCACCCTGTGAGATGGCATCGCTGGAGCACAGGGAGGGAAGTGGGGAGGGGCTGTGTCTCCGAAGGCTTGGGGCACTAAGCAGCTGGCCACAGCGCATAGGCACTGAGCCCATGCCCACAAGCAGGTGGCCGCAGGCGGGGAAGCACTGCAGTGGGGGTAGGGAACGCAGATGGCCAGGGCTGTGAAGGGACAGGGAGTAGTCAGCAGTAAGGCTCTGAGGACAGTGGTACCTGCATATGTTTATTTATGAAGGGATCTCATTGAATTGTAATGAAAACCATAAATGAAGGGATTACCCCCATTTAACAGGTCAGTAAAAAGAGGCTCAGAAAAGAAAACTGACTTGCAAAAAAGTGGGGAAGGATGGACCTTGGGCTGGGGCAGATGAATGCCCCCCAGGTGCTCAGAGTGGTGATAACATTACTGGAGCCAGTTCTGAGGAGGGAGGAAAGGAGTGGGGTGTCATTTAGTCCTCTCCCGGCCCCACCTCCTCTCTTGGGGGTCTGGCCCTTGAATCCATACCAAGAAGGGACAATCCATACCAAGCAGCATGACAGGCTGAGTGGAATGAAGCAGACTTGTGGGGTCTCAAAGCTTTTGTGTGGCCTTGGTCCATGGTCTTAAAGTAAATGTAATCTAGGGCCCAAAGCCATTCACAGGGTAGGGCAGAATCTGGGAGCAGAATGGGATGCCCAAAGGGATTCCCCAGGGACAGAGGGTGTGGGAGCCTCGCTGCTGTGGCCAGCACTTCCCAGGAGACATATGTGGACACAGGGGCAGTGGTTGTGAGAAGGGACTATGTTGGAGAGGGATCACCTGGTACCCACTATATGCCAGCTTGTGCCAGGCACTTTCATTTCCCTTATAATAGGCTCTTCGCACTCTGCTGCCCAGTTTGCACCAGAGGAAATTGCAGCTCATATTGAGAGACCTGCTCAAAGTCACATAGTGGCAGAGCAGGAGCTACTCAGGGCTGTCTGACTGCAGTGGGCAATCCTTCCATTACCCTGGTTCTTATAAAGGCTTCTAACTTTGCTTTCAAAGCAAGTTCCCATCAGCTCCTCAGCGGGGAGGGTGGGCAGCTACTCATTCTACAGATGGGGCAGCCAAGGCCCAAGGGTGACCGGAGTGCAGCGTAGGTTGGCAGTGGAGCTGGGGCCAAGTCCCAGGCTTCTCCTGCCCAGCAAATCGGCTCTGGGTTTTCTGAAAGCAGAGACTAGGGCACACGCACCCCTGGGGAACCAGAATCCAGGCCCGGTTTTGCATCAGGCCCTCCTGAGAAGGTGTTTCCTCCTCCTAGTGGGGCTGCCGGTTGAGTCAGCCTTAGTCCCTCACTGCTCTTCTGGTCCCTGAAACTCGGCTGCCAGGGGAGCTGGGGCCACTTACGAAGGTGTCCCCTCCATACTGGATCCCTACAGGTAACCTGCTTCAGGACGGGGGTCCCCTGCCAGTGTCCCAAAGGGCAGGCACTGCCACCTGGTATCCTGAGCACCCTCTGGGACCTTGGGGGGGGGTGCAGGAGTGTGTCTGAGACTGGAACAGCCAGACAGATGGAGAAACCCTTGTATTGACCCATGGATCTGTCCCATAGTGTTGAAACAGAGCAGGAAGGACCTGTTGATTCTGCCTCTGGAAGGAGCGGGGACAGCAGGAAGGCCTGTGCTGCTGGGGATTCGGAGCTCAGGTGCCCACTGCCCAGCCCCAGGCAGACCGACAAGACAAGAGCAGGGTCAGTTTTACAGAATGTCCTCTCACCTCCATACACATGCGTGTGCACATGTGTGTACGCACACACATACACACACTGGTGGTCCTGAGGGTACCAGAGTACACACTGCAACACACAGCTCAGTTACACATACAGCACAGTAGGAAATACACAGTGCACACACCATACAACACTATCACCCAGAGAGTCACTGAGCACATCACACAGACAACAGCCACCAGTCAGCATCACACCGTGACATGACACACAGGCAGTGATATGATATTCAGCAAAATATACAGTCTTCTCGATCCTCAGTACCCAGACATGCCTGCTGGACCGACTGTCAAAACAGCACAACTCAGCAGAGACATCACCGTGGGCTCACCCAGCAGCCACAGAAGAGCCCCAAACGATGCGTTTGCAACACCCAGTACCTTGAACACAGTAGATGTGCAGGAGCTAGTGTTAACGTGGAGCATGCAGGCATTCACACAGGCCATACAAATGCCTGATGGAGACATGCAGGAACCCCAGGCTCCCAGGTGAGGGTGGGGCAGCCGGGGAGAGGGCTCGCTTGGGCTTGGACACTGACTCAGCCAGGAGGGCACAGGGCGCAGGCAGCAGGCACAAGCCAGGACCTGCCTTCCCATGCAGCCCAGCCTGGTGCCCTGGCATGGCAGGGGACAGGAGGGATGGGAGATACCACCCAGTGGGCTCAGACCATGGCTCTGCTCTGCTCTGCTCTGCTCGTGGCCCAGTCATGGGCCCCTTGCCACGTCCACACGCCCCTCAGGGCTGAGCAAATGTTTTGCTTCCGGAGTCACCATTCTACCTGAGCAGCTGGAGCTGCTTTGCCAGCACTTGGCCTCCACCACTGGGACCCTAGCCAAGTCCTGGGTCAGGGAGGGTGGGGGACCCACGTGGCCAGAGCCAGGGGCTCAGGGGGTCTGGAGAAGAGGGCAGGGCTGGCAGCTGGGGCATTCCTGGTCTGTGGGAGGGGGTGGGTGCGGCCGTTGCCTCGGTGCGGGGGGAGGAAGTTGGGGGTGTAGACTGGGGAGGAGGTTGCCTCAGACAGGAAGACCAAATGGGCCAGGGCAGGGTGGAGGTGAAGGGTGGAGGGAGGGCACCCACATTAGGAGGTTCCAGGACGGGGGGTGAGCAGATATGTGTGTTTTGTGTGTGTTCATGCCCCAGGTGTGTGCAAATGTTTAATTAATCAAATGTTTACCAACCATCTGTTGTGTGCAAAGTACTGGCTTTGGGGGTGAAGGCCTGTCCCTACCTTCAAGGAGCTCACAGTCCAGTTGGGGAGCACTGTGTGTGCAAAGGTCTGTGTGGTCTGTGGATATCTAGGGACAAGTCTTTGTCCCAGGACTTATTCTTGTACAGGTGAACCCGCCCTGTGGGTCCTGCCTCCCTTCGTGGGCATGGGCCTGTGTGCAGGCTTAAAGCTGTGTTAGATCATCTCTTGGTTTGGGCATGACCACATAGGGCCCTTCATGGAGTAACAGGTGTGTGCGTGCCTGACCTTGTACAGGCATCAGTGTGTATGTGTGACTGGTGTATTTACATGTGTCAGTGTGTACGCATGTGTCCCGGGATAGTGTACGCATGTGTCCCGGTATAGTGTACACATGTGTCCCGGGATAGTGTACACATGTGTCCCGGTATAGTGTACACATGTGTCCCGGGATAGTGTACGCATGTGTCCCGGTATAGTGTACACATGTGTCCCGGGATAGTGTACACATGTGTCCCGGGATAGTGTACGCATGTGTCCCGGGATAGTGTACACATGTGTCCCGGGATAGTGTACACATGTGTCCCGGGATAGTGTACACATGTGTCCCGGGATAGTGTACGCATGTGTCCCGGGATAGTGTACACATGTGTCCCGGGATAGTGTACACATGTGTCCCGGGATAGTGTACGCATGTGTCCCGGGATAGTGTACGCATGTGTCCCGGGATAGTGTACGCATGTGTCCAAGGGTGCATCTCATGCCACCTTGACCTCAGCCTTCCTGGGGTGGTATCCTGCCCACCACCTAGAATGTATTTGGGCAGAAAGAGGCAGTCAACTCCAGGATGTGCCCTATATTTGAGCAGGGCTTGACCTGACCCCAAGTCTGTCCCCAGGGAGCCATGTGTGCCCAGTGGGGGCACTGCCCCAGCTGATGCCTCAGAGGGGCCACCCATCTCAAGAGGGGCTCTGGGCCCCACCTTACCTCCTCATGGCGCATGAGCCAGAGCCCGAGGCCGATGGGCTGTTGGACCTCAGCTTCCTGACAGAGGAGGAGCAGGAGGCCATTGCCGAGGTCCTGAAGCGAGATGCCCACCTGCGCCAGCTGGAGGAGGGGCGAGTCAGGTGAGGCAGGGCGAGAGGTGGGGGCCTCAGGCACCGGGGGGCCCACCCTGCCCCCACCAACCTGCAGCCTGTCAGATATCTGAGTAGTTCTCGTTTTTGCCGTTTGGTTCCTTGTACCCCTGGCCAGCTCTGCTTATCACCTCTCGCAGCCTCCCTGCCTCCGGCCTTGTCCGCTCCGACCAACCCTCCATACCGCAGCTGGAGCTCCTCAGATCTGTCCTTCATATGCCTTGCTGAACCCTCTCCTGGCTCCTCAGCATCATGTGTCAGGGGCAAGCCCGGAGCGTGGTCCACAGGCCTTCCCGATTGGTCCCTGCTAGCCTCCCCCATCTCATCTTCCACCAGTAACCACCACCCTGACACACACAGTGTCCACTAGAGCCATGCAGGTGCTCCGCTGTCCCTGAACACACCCACCTTTCGTTCCTGCTTCCTGGAGGAGCCCAGTGGCAGAGGAGCACAGGACTTACAAGTAGTGCTTGGGGACAGGCACCTCCTAGCGATGTAACCTTGGGCAATTCACCTGACTTCTCATCTGTAAAGTGGGGCTAAGGAATCCTACCTTATAAAATTAGGAGGGATTAGGCATAGTAGTCACTTTAGTGAATAAATTCTTCTTCTCTACCTGAAGAAATCCAATTAGTCCTTTTAGAGGCAATTCAAATGCTGCCTCCTCTGGGAAGCCCTCCTGAATTCCCACAGGCAAAACTGGCACTTCTTATATCCATCATGGCACCCACCTCACTATAATATACCTGTCTATTCTGGACTCGGTCTCCCCACCAGCCTGAGCTCCTCCAGAGCAGGGATCAAGTCTGATTTGCTATTGTGTCCCTGGCCCCAGGTACAGGGCCTGGCAGATGGCTGGGTGAATGGTAACAGCCATGCCCCCCGCCCCTCCCAATCCTCCAGCAAGCTCCGGGCTTCACTGGCAGACCCTGGGCAGCTGAAAATCCTGACGGGGGACTGGTTCCAGGAAGCACGCGCCCGACGGCACCACCATGCCCACCTTGGCTCTGACCTTGTCCGAGCCTCTATCCGCAGGAAGAAGAGCTCCAAGGGTGAGAGATCCTCAGGGCAGGGCAGGCCTTGTGCAGGCCGGGCACCCAGTGTATGTGGACAGGTAGAGGGCCCCTGGGTCCCAGTCCCAGCTGCCCCTGGTATGTGTGCCTTTGGTCGGGTACCACCCCTCAGTACTACCCCTCTGTGGAGGGGGGTTCACAGAGCTTCTCACCTGCATGCAGGAGAACAAGCTCTGGGTAGCAATAGGGAAACCGAGGCTGCCGGGAAAGAGACGGAAGAGGAGTTGGAGCCCGGGTGAGTAGCAGTGGCGGGGGGTGGGGGGGGTGTCTACCAGTCATCGGGGTCCCATCCCTGACAACCGCTTCTCCCTACTCCTAGACTCCTCATAGACAAGGCCCCCCAGGAGAGTCCCAGTGAGGCGGAGGTGAGTGATGAGTGACTGAGTGAACTAATAAAGGAACGTACCGGAGAGTAGAGGTGGCATGTGCTGGGAAAGAGACCCAGCCTGAGAATCAGGTCTGTGTCTGTCATCCTGTTCTGTCAGATGGGAGTATGGACCTCTAAGAAAGTCCCGGAATCTGGCTGTTACTGGGGAGTAGGGACTGAGCAGGTCGCGGTCTGGGACTCAGATGCTACTGTCCCCCACTAATGGGACGCTGGGAGTCAGGCCGGGCAGGCGCTGAAGTGTGACGGGGTGTGAAGTACAGGTCCGACGGGCCCTGCAGCTGGTTGCAGCCCTGCCCTGGTGGCTGAGCTAAATCTAAAGGGGGGCAGCCAGCTGGAGCCCCTGACCTATGACCCCATGATAACCTTTAACCCTTCATCACTAGTTCCCACTGTGACCTCTGCCCCTTGCTTCTTTCAGGGACGTGATCTCCCCTCACCATATGTCCCCCCAAAAGCATCAGATCATGAGGAGGAGCCTCAGGCCCAGGAAGGTGAGTGGGCGGATGTGTGCTGGGGAGCGCAGAGAGGTCGTGGGGATCAGAGGCAACTCTGAGGGGCTCCAACCATCTGTTGACCTTCCTCCTCCCCCGGCGTTGGGGGTGGGGGGGCAGGTGGTCTCTCTGGACAACCCCAGGGCAGCACTAGCGCCCCGATCCTCAGGTCATGGGGCTGCAAACCAGCCTCTCCAAACGTGTGCAGGGCGGGCTCAGAGGGGCTGGTTCAGCAGCTTGTGCCCCACCCCAGCCCCCGGCCCCGGGGGTGCACAGGTCTACGAGCAGGAGGCGGGCCCGGAGCCGGAGCCGCCAGCCAGGGAAGAGGAGGGGCCGCAGCCCCGCCCAGCCCAGGTAGGCGGAGCGGCCCGGCGGCCGCAAGACCCGGAGCGGATCGAGAGCGGGGAGCGAGCCGTCCGGGCCGAGCGCCGTCGGGGCGGGGGGCTGGGGAACACGGCGCCCCGACACTTCTCCCTCCCCAGAGCCAGGCGGCGTCCAAGATCCTGGAGAACGGGGAGGAGGCCCCCGGGCCCGGCCCCTCGCTCGACCGCGTGCTCAGCAGCAGCTCCTCCGTGTCCAGCCTCAACTCCTCCACGGTGAGGGGGGCCTCCCCTCCCCACAGCCTGACACTCAGCCCCTCCTGACCCTCCCTCGGCCCCCACCCCTCCAGCTCCTGGGCCGGTTACCTCGTAGTGCCCTGCACCGGTACACCTACCAATGTCTGTATCAATGAAACGCGGGCACTTTTTGCTTTTGCTTTAAAAGATTTCAACATTCCGAACAACGAAGGAAAAAAGGAAATATAACACCTCTCAGGAATTGTTCTGTCCGGATGACAGGTATATGGATCGTCACGGTAATCCCCTCTCTGCGTTCGAACCCCTTTGAAAACGGCCCCACACAGACCGGATACTGCCCAAAACTAGCCCATCTCCCAACTACACTCTGAAAGAGTCATTCATCTTTCCAAAAACTCACTTGCTTTTCCAAC